GCTGATGCACGAGCGCCTGATTGAACATATAAATCAGCATGAGGGTGTGGAATGGGTCACCATGGAGTATATCTGCGATGACTTCAAGAATCGGAACCCCTACCCTGCGGGAGCCCTACTTCCGAGCCCTCCAGGGGAGGTCTTGACAAAGAGCAAGGAGGATGTGAAGAGCGGGATTTAATGAGGAGGGAGAGGAAGTTTAGGGGATTTGTTAAACACCTCGTTTCCCCGCTTCTCAGCTGTGCGCTCGGTTACGATATTAGCAAGCTCCGCAAATGTAAATTGTATTTGCCGGGGGGTAGTGGGCCAGGGTTGGGTGGCTCGATCAGTTTTACTCATGCGAATTTAAGGAATCAAACGATTCTCCCAGACAATGAAAAATCGAGTGATATCCCAGAGCTCACCGAATAGGATACCTAAGGTTTGGGCTGGCTCCGGTCACTTTGCCTGTATAACGGGCCCCTGATACCCGCACCCCCTCCTCTTGTTTTGGTCGGTAAAAGGCTCCTTGCGCGCTGAGTAGATGTAGGATACGGGTTCGAATTGTCTCCCCCATCCTAGACTAGCGGATGGTGATTACAAAGCAAGCATGAAGAATATGAGAGGCTACAGTAGGAGATAGCGTAAAGAATGGTAGAATTGAGAATCCACAGTACCGGTGAGGTAGTTGGGACGTTGGAGCGCCTCTCAACGAGCCTCTGCGGTGCATGCATTGGGCCGATGATTCTGCGATTGGATCGCATAGAGAAGTTGTATCCGTCAGCCCCCGGTATGCCCATGGAAGTCCAACTGCGGATGCCGGGAAATAGCTACTATTCGGGTAATTGAGCATGTACGAGTACAAGGACGAGTATGAGACCGGGGATGAAGGGTAAGTCTGCCGAACTCCCTCCGATTGGCTTAGGGCTTTCTAGGCCACTCGGAGAAGGGTATGATACGGTGTTCGCTCCAGCCACCACGCCAAGATCCCCGCAGACTTTTCTCCTTCACCAAAAATTGGCGTATCGTACGTGACCGATGGCTGCGTGATCTGCGTTCCACACACACGTGATCCTCACCACCGGACCAGGGTTCGAAGGATCTCTGAGCACACCGTAGGCACGGATAAGACTCAAGCACTCGTAGTCTGACAGCAAACTACCGTATCATACTTATACTTCGTATGATATCGGTATTGTGCGCCCATCCAACCACAGAAGTGGAGGTCGGTCGGTCTATCCCGCCAAAAATCCCCCACCCCTCCTATCCCGGTCCCGCCAAGCCCTTGCACCACTGATACTCGAGTGAAGTACGAGTACAAGTATGATATGATACCGCACCCCACCCCATTCCGTGGATCGGGTCCGCCATCATACTGTCCCATTTCCCACCACCTCTGCACCCCTCCACTCCCCGGGGCTAGCCGAGATGCGAGACTGGTTCAATCCCTTTGGTTGCTACGGTGGGGTAGTGCAACGCCAGTGTCGCTCGGGATGCACTGTGCCGTACTCGTAGAGCCTCATGGACAAGAGCTTATATCTGGGCTACATCCCGCTTACGTAGATCGTTAGGGTGAATAACGACCTCTACCGCAAAAGGGAAGGGAAGGGAAGGGAAAGGAAGACCTTTGGATAATTACCCCAATTTCGTGAACCCGGGATTCGTGATGGGGAAGGCTTGTGTCCAACTTGATGTACTGATTCCACTTGTTTGCTTTTATTTCATTTCGATGCTCGGGGAAGGAAGCTAGCTGATGGATGGGCGGGCGGATTGCAGGTAATAATTGTCGGCGCGGGTCTGGGCGGGCTGGGGGCGGCCATAGCAATTTCCCTCGCGGGCCACAGAGTGATAGTTCTAGAGGCTTCTGCTGCCATCGGAGAAGTAATCCCACCCCCTCTCCCCTAGTTCCTCTATTATTCGACTACTAACACCAAATATCATAGATAGGGGCAGGCATCCAAATACACCCCAATGCCTCAAAGATCCTGACGGCATGGGGCATGCGGGATGCCCTCCTCCAATACGCTACGTTCCCAAAGCAGGTGAACATGATCGGGTGGAAGGGCAACCGCATAGCACACATGAATTTTGCAGAGCACGCAGAAAAGTACAACTCCCCCTTCTGGGACTTCCACCGCGCGTCCCTACACAAGTGCCTGTTCGACCGAGCTGTCGAGCTCGGTTGCAAAGTCCTGATGAAATCGAGGGTGGACGGCGTGGAGTTTGGTGGGTTGGGTGGCGTGTGCACGGTTTCGCTGCACGATGGGAGGAGGCTGAGTGCGGATTTGGTTGTGGGCGCTGATGGGATCAATTCCGTCATGAGGGAGTGCTTGGTTGGGCGTCCGGATAAGCCGACTCCGACGGGGGATTTGGCATACCGGTTGTTGCTCAATACGAAGGGTATGATGGAGGATCCCGAATTGAGGGGGTTCGTGACCGATCAGCATGTTAATTATTGGATGGGGCCCGGTGCACATGCTGGTATTCTCCCTTCCTTTGTTTAGGTAGGAGGAAAATCGTGTTAATGAGATGATAGTGAACTACGTCCTAAAAGGCGGAGAACAATTCAACATGGTCCTTCTCACTCCGGACGACATCCCCGAAGGTGGAGCAACAACGATTGAAGGAAATGTAGACGAGATGCGAGCGATCTACAAAGACTGGGACCCAAAGTACTTCCCCGCTTATCCCTTTCTTCCTCCAAAGCACTAACCCTCCCGGAAGGATAGGGAAACTCCTCGCCCTCTGCGAGTCAGTCTACAAATGGAAACTCTGCATCCGCGAGGAACTCCCCAGTTGGTCCCACCCTTCGGGTACCTTCACTCTGCTCGGTGACTCCGCCCATGCCACACTCCCCTACCTAGCCTCAGGAGCAGGTATGTCCCTCGAAGATGCCGCAGTCCTGGGTGAGTGCCTTTCCCGCATATCCTCAAAATCCGGCATTCCGTTAGCTCTATCAGTATACGAAGCGTGCCGGAAGAAGCGCACCACGAAGGTAGTACAGAGGGGAAACGTCCAACAGCACCTCTATCACCTGCGCGATGGGCCGGAGCAGCAGGAGCGAGACGCAAAGATGAGGATGGTGCCGACCCCGCCTGGGGAGTGCCTCGCCTGGAGGGATCCGGGATTTGCGCCTTGGTTGCTCGGATATGAGGTATTGAGGGATGTTGAAGCAAATTGGCCGAAGGGGGCAGAGAGGGGAGGGGAGGGGAGGGGGTCGAAGGCTCGCGCGAATTTATAGATTGGAAGGAAGGGATCCTATGCGCATTGGTTCGCTTTTTTTCTCGTTCAGATTTCCTGTATGCCCCATTTCGCGCCCATCTCACTACTTTTTGCCCTCTTGTGTGCATTGCCCGTGCTATTAACACACTACGAATAAATCAAGATTTGACATATTGCTTTGCCGCATGGGCCACCACAGAGCATGGCTCGCGAGCGGGGCCCAGGGGGACGAACAGCACTTAAACTTTCTAACAATCACGATCTTAGAGGTCTGCAAACTTACAAAATAGGAGATCCAAGGCACGCCCCCGGCCCACCCAGACAGAAACCTCTTATAATACCAGCCCCTCCGAACATACCACTCCTACACGCCCCCCGTCCCTCACTATGAGTGCTATATCATTCATAGCCAAAGAGATAAAGGCCCCCAACTACAAAAAATCTGCCCAAAACCACTCACTCGTTCCCTTCGCCCGGCCCTCCCCGATATACCCAGCGGAGGGTTTGCGCTATGCTCCTGGGTCATTAGGTACCATTCGCGTTACCACTTCCAGCCGCAACGGGGGTGTGAAAGCGCTATTACAATAAAGCTCATGTGCTTTCCAGCTTTCAGTACCGTTCGTGCGGTTGTCAGTTTGGTTCCTGAGAATAATTCCACCGAGTCGGTATGTATGTGGTCTGGAAGGGTGTGGTGTGGTGGTTGTATCGTAGGGGTTCTCGATGTTTGGGATGTGGCGTGGAGTTGGGGGTGTTGCTTGGGGTATCACGATAAAAGAAAGAAATAATAAAAAAAGGAGAAGAAGGAGGAGAGAAGGAGTCGGTATCGTATTTGGGTTTCCTATCCTGGAGACTGGGATCTTGTATGATAGGATCGTATCTTGATAACGCTGGTCGTATCGTTCGCGGAAGAGGTGGGATCGGAACCGGGAGTTTTTGATACGAGATTCTGTGCTACCGGGGTTCTCATGGGGGTTACCGTAGGGTTTCTCCGAATCGTTGAATCTTGTGCTAGGTATTGAAGTAAGTGAGATTACTAGTATTATATTTGTTTGGGGAAACTACCGGTACTCTTGGTTTTTTTCTTTTTTCTTCAAATATAGTTCGTATCGTGTTCTCACCAGTTTTGGATGATATGATAGCATGCTCTAATTAATGGTTCGTAATATCGTATTATACCATCGCTACCCCCCCATCTCTGTTCCTAGGCCCACCGCACCTGCCCATCCTCAGGTGTTGTGAACGCTCTCCGGGGTAGGTATCATAAGTAAATAACTTAAGCATATAGTAACATACTGTGGTTTCTCCCGGTGCTGTTGTGCATCGAATTTACACTCTTTTGTTCCGAGATCTCTTCTTACACATAAGTTTCTAGAGGGCGGAAGTATGATATGTCCGACCTGTGAACGGGGGTCTGGCCCCAAGTGGCGCGGGAGCGTGGAGGGGAATACGGGAAGTTATGGCTACTGGAGGGAAAGTAAGGTCTTATAATACATACATCCACTCCTATTCCAACCGTAAATTTTGTCAGGGGGTGATAGATATCTTGGGCTCAGGCGATTATTTAAAGGCGGGTTTCCAATATCATGTGTCCAGAAGCTTGTTTGTGGAAAACTGGTTTTTGATATTGTACTCTACTTGGGTGGTTGCTGCTATTGCTTGTACAATTACTCGCCTAAGTTAGATCGTGTCGTGGGTGGGGGGTTCGCGCACCCGGTTGATTCTTGTGATGTTCCTCTACGTATAACGATGATTACCGGTTCTGAATATCTATCCGGTCTCGCTTTTTTTTTCCTTCCTCCACACGGAGTCCTGAGAACCGCCGCGGATCCTTGTCTTTGGTATATTGACATATTCTGGACAAGGTTCAAGGGATGAAAGAAACTTTTTGAATTTTTAGTGATAGTACAGTACGGAGTCTTTCAGTATATCTAACGTGTTGAATCGGTTTTACTGTCGTGAGATAAATGATCAGAAGTCCCGGACGCCGGGTTGTCGATGGGAGGTCGACTCCTGAAAGTCGGGGAGTCTCGAAGCTGGCTGAGTGTATTCACTAGGATGAATCTGATGATTAGTTATGGTGCAATAACCAGGGTGCTGTAATGCGTATGCTAAGCTAGAAAAACGATCCTCACCGGGAAGGAGGTTTGGTTCTCTTTTGGCAGCATTCGGCCAGTGATGAATGGAGGGGCAACCAACTAGAAGTCCTTAGTTAGCGGGACCAGATACCGAAACTTGCAGTCTGAGACTAGAACATTAATGGCTGGGAGAGTGTAGGTCCGGGGTGAAATAGAATAGGGAAGCGTTTCTCTCGCTGAGCTATAATTTTATGCATAATAGTTTGTAGGGGTTATTCCATCAGAGATCTCGGTGGGAAACTTGATAGGTTCCGGGGCACCCATTTTGATCCCACGAATAGTGATCTAGGGTGATTACTTGATGCCAATTCCCAGCCCATTGCTGGGAATGTATAATATCGTAGGGAGTGGCGGCCCCGGAGAAAGGTTCATCTTAGGTTACCCGTCGAAGGATGTGTTTCTAGATTCCTGCGGAGCACCCTCTATTCGGGGGAGGTGCTCCGACTAGATATAGCCGGTAATAAAAACCGCACGAAACGACGGGTGATTTTGGCTTTCGTGAGGTGTATGAGTCAACACCTGAGCAGACCAAGGTATCATACCAGTACTGACCAAGGAGAGATTAAGGTTTGGGGCAGAGTCTCTGACATAAGTGCCTCATGCTAAGGAGAAACGGCCCCTCAATATTAGTAAAGCCCCCATACGGACCCCGATTGGTTTCCCGCTAAGGATTGATTGTGTTCTTCTCTCTAAGGATACCTTTTCGGGATGTCAAATACTTTTTTTCCCAAATTGAAGGCTCACCCCTCTGACACCAACACCCCTTCTTAAATGTTGCCTCTTGTTTTTGGGGGCCAATCCCCAAAGTTGAATTTCTGGTAGAGTTAGGCTGCTTTCGCTTAAGCCGCTTAATGAAATTAAACATATTTCTATACGGAAAAATTACCTTCATGGTACTTCTTGATGAGGGTTACTTACAATATTAAAACACCTCCTCTGAATCTCTTCACCGGGGACACTATAGCTCCCCCCCCTAATTGGATCCTGTGACCCACACTATGTACACCTTTGGGCACGGTTGACATCGCAGCTGGATTCATGAATAGAAAGGATTGGGACCTAAACCGGAAGGGTTGTGTAAGTACTGTACCATCAGTTGGAATCAATAGAGATAGTGGGTTGTAGCTTAGCCATGGACAGCACGGGAAGGGTTCTAGAAGGACAAAGTTATTCTTGGAAGTCTCGGGAGTACGTTTCATTGTTTGGAAGTATCTTTCCTGAAGGTTGGAAGAGGATTCTAGAGATATGTCTTTCCCCTGTTGTCACGGGGGCGTGCGGAGGAACTTGGACATGTGCGGGATCATCGAGATGGGTGCAGCGATCCATGGAGGGATCGGGTTGCTTTGGTGATGATTTACTTATACACCTGTCATTACCGATTAGTTAGAGGGAGGAGCCGAGACGAAGTACACACTTATCAGAGTTATCCCAGCACAGCGGAGCCTCACCCTATTCTATTCTATAACCACTGCGCATTTTGATAGTAGCCTCCATCACAACACCATCTATGGGATACGATGGGTGGACAGTGAGAAGCGGTGAAACCTCTGTTGAGCGTGGAAAATGTCATGCGGATATCCCGGACATAGGAATGCGGCTGGGAGCACTCTCGTAGGTTCCTTAAGGGTGGCATGAAGGGGCGGCTGAGGGGCTTCCGTGAGGGGGTTGGGCTCAGCCCCAAGTATCCGAGAAGATGGCACCCAACTATGCTCTGATGGGCTGATAAAGAGGGTGTGCGGAAGTGATGAGACCGCCATTGAAATAGCAAGACGTCATTCCTGTCATCCCAGGCTGAAAGAGTGGAACAAAACTTTCCTGGGTCTTATTTTCGGGAATAGTAAAGTAAATATGCTCCTGGTCCGGACTGATTTGAATCGAGATGGAAGGTTGTGAAGGTCGGACATCATTGATACGGGCTTCTTGAAATGGCGATGAGTGAGCGTTAAGACAGCTACTGTTACAAAAAATTGCAGATCGGACGGGGCGGATGGGTGGGACATATCGCAGCCATTGTTGACTTCAGATGAGGAGCATGAAGGTGTGAAAATTCTACTAGGTCAAGTAGGTGTTAGCCCCACAAGCTAGACGGCGGGAGTAGAACACTTCCTCGCAGACTGCCACAAGTGGATATAAATGTTTTGTTAAGTTGTTTGTTCTACAATATGTTAGCCCATTATACTGTTTTTGTTTTTTATTTCGTGCTGGTGTATCATGCCTGCGCTTGTCTTGAGGTCTGCGAGTTCTGGGGCTAGGGGTCCTGTCTGGGCCAACACCCATCTCTCACACTATCCCGATTCTCGTCGTCAAGCGACCCAAACTCGGGCGCTTTCTGCGTTCAGAATCGGGACCGGGAGAAGTCGGCGGTCGCATTAGGAATACTCTCCTTTCCCCAAATAAGCTCCACTAAGTCAATAAACACTTGATCGTGAGGTTTGTGGAGAGCGCGAAGATAAATTGGAAATAGGATGCCTAGCGTTACGGGGTTCTAAAACAAGCAGCTATTCATGATACTGTAGCCACCAAATATCATGATGCCGCGAACCATAGGTTTTATAGCCTAAGATCAAAGCCTAGTCTATATATAGCTATGGTGGCAACCCCCATAGGCACTAGTGTAGAGTAACACATGGCCTATTTCCTGGAGTAAATAACGATTAGCGCGGCGGTAGAACGAGCAGAATCGCTCGGGACCAGAGTGTTGGGTAGGAGAGGTCGGAAGGTACCCCAATAGACTTCTTTCCCGTGCTCCCCGAACCAAACCAGCGATAATGACGGTAGCATATAATGTGGGAGAACACAATAGAACTACCCGGGTCCTTTGATTGATAGACACGCACATCTCTTCGCCTTCACGCATATTCCAATTCCTCTGTGCACCATAGTA